ACTTCTTCTGAAAACAAAGAAAGTATAAACAAATGTTAGATTTTCAAGAATAAAGAACAATGAATAAGTTTCATAATAAATCTTATATCTGACTTTATGTCTGTACAATCATTCTTTATCTGAAACACGCATTTTATCGAACACCTTTTTCCTCAAATTCCCTAGATATATTTTCCATTCAAAATTCCAGGAACTGATCAAACAATTCCATATTTAACAAAAGGGAACTAAAAAAATATATTAAAATCCTCGGACCAAACGGAACAGAACCGATATCAGTGCAAAAATCAAGAACCAAGTTTTGAAAAAACAACCATTGTTTTCATGCTGAGGAACAACCGCTCTAGAAGCCATCTCCGGTCCTTCTTCTTCTACGACCTGGCTTAAAACTCCGCCGAGGCTGGAAAACAAAGACGAAAGGAACACCCGAAGACGACTTCCTCGCGCCTCCTCCTCTTCTGGGTCTCTTCTAGTCGCCACCCTACAACTCTTTTCGTCACTGCCAAACGAACAAAAACAAGCAAATGAAACAACCTTCTTTGAGTCGATCTTTGCTGTTTTCCAGTTTTTGAGTGGATCTTTTAATTTGCCATTACGAATTAGTTGTCTCAATTAACTCTTGTTTGTAATTTTTTAATCCAGCAGCCCAGTTCCCCTTATAAGCAGTGTTTTGAAGGGACGCGTCTCTCTAACGGTATAATATTTTGAAATCCAATCTGTGGCCGTTTGATTGAACGAGAATCTAACGGCTACTAAGCACCTTATTTTGGAATTTTTGTAGCCGTTGAAGTGCACGTGGCATTGTTATGGGGGTTAAAAAGTTGAGTTGGAATCACATTATTGATTTTTTAAACCAAAAATTAAGGTAAAAATAAGTAAATTTTACTTAGTGTCTAAAGAATTTTTGTTGTTGTTAAAAATTAGTATCTAACGTTTTTTTAGTTATACTTTTAAGTTTCTCTGTTATATTTTTAATTTTTTAATAATACAAATATTATTTTTAATAAAAATAATTAAAAAATCTTAATTTATTTGCAAAAGAACCCCAAAATTTAATGAAATTATAAAAAATTCTAAAAAACTAAAATCTTTCATTTTAACCCATTACCAGGAATGCTAGAGGAGCACCGATAGAGCGATAGAGACGATGAGTTTTGAGCAAAATTACACGATGATTCTAATGGCGATGACAACGAGGCTTATGAATGTCGGAATCGGCCAGCGTCAGCAAAAAATAATGATGGTGGCTTAAAATTCGTGGAAACTTCAAATGGTTTTTCACGAAAAACGGTGGCAGCTTACGGTGAAAGACCAACGGGGGCTTGATCGAGATTTGACGACGGTGCTAACGACAGTGGCGGTGATAGTCACGGATGACTGACCGACAACCATGGAAGGGGGAAAGGGGGAAGAAAAGGGGGTTGCTGCTGAGCATGGAGAATTTTTTAAATAATTTTTTTAATTTTAAAATAAATTCTTAAAATTATCAAGTTCGACACGTGTCACTTAATGGTCAAATTTAACAGTCGTTACCGTTTAGTCACTTAAAAGTGCTCTGATGGAAACTTTAGGCACATAATATTAGCGAAAAATTCTTTAGACATTAAAACGTTTTTCGAGGTAAAATTCAAGCAATTATTTTTGTGTTAAGCAAAAAAAAAAGCTTAATATATGTCGGAACCGTATTTCGGTTGGATCCCGAAATTGGGCTTCGACTTAGGAAAAATGATTTGAAGTCGCCACCGATCATTTATTTTAAAAAAGAGATAGGTTGACCAGATACCTTATTTCTTACCTGATCTGCGTTGTACCAGAAACGTATCGGGTTCGGGAGTTGATTACGGTCAATGAAGGATTAACACCATTGAACCGCCTTTTCGGTACCAATTAATTTATCGGTTATCTTTAATTGCGAAAATTTAAATTTAAATTTTAAAGCCTGATTCAAATTACTTACCTTCGATTAATTAAAAAAATCCCCTAAAAAGTCAAAAAATTGTTAGATTATAAAATAAAAATAAATATGAAAAAAATAAAAAATATTAATATAATAATAAATAAATAAATAAATAAATAGATAAATAAATAAAGATAAATAAAATTGAGTAAAAAAACTAAAAAATAATAAAGATAATAAAGTAGATCCAATTCTTGTTATGTATTTTCTGTACGATTCTCTTGAATGTGGAGTAGTTCTTGATAGTGCACCCTGGGACACCGCTATGATATTCGCAATGAGCATTCTCATCATACTACCTGGGGTACAGGGGCTTCATGGATTTATCTGGATATGGTGACACAGCATGTGCATCAAACAACTATTGGTAAAGCTTCTTATATGTCATAGGATTGAAATGTTCTCATTTTTTATTAGACATATGAATGTAATAAAAAAGTGAAAAGTAATGCGAAATATGCAGGAATGCATGATGCATGCAATCTTTGAGGCATTGATCCAATAAATGTGTCTGTTATTAGAAATAATCCTTATTGGAGACAAAAGTGTTTTATCTTTTAAGAGACAAAAATATCCTGACATCTTCTGATATGTTGACTAGACTTCTGCCTTCGTTTGTCACCGGTTGAATAACTTGTTGTACCGCTCTGGCTTCTTCGGATGAACCGTGCAAATGACGAGTTGTTTGCCCCAAAAAAAGTCTCGAAGGACTGCACCTTCGGTTTCCACTCTCTGCTGCCCTCCATCGATAGAAACTATCCGAAGCTTGCTTCTTGAACTCTTCAACAATGGCATTTAGCTCGGCTAGAGTTTCGTCATCTTGTTCTCGTAGTTTTTGAAAGGAGCGTCCGGGTCAGTAACATTCTCCTTGTCTTGCCCCTGCAATCTTTGCCAGTCAGTTCTTCAAAGATAGACTTTCATTATGCTTGATGTAGACCCGGTTCATTCTGAGTCCTTTATAATGAAGCAGAGTGATATACTCTTCAATTGTGGGCACCACATCTTTTGGATTGAATATGACACATAGTCACCTTGTAGACTGTCCTCTGCATTTTCATCTATTGTATTACAACCCTCTTTTAAATGATGCAAATGATGAGAACAAAATGAAAGAGAACAAAAAAATAAAAAGAGTTAGTGATGTAAATCAAAACAATAATAAAAATGAAAAATCCTACCCCACATGCTTATTATTCTACCCAGATTTGATCTCTATCCCGCCTGCTAATTTCAAACACATCCTAATCGCATATTTGTCTAGTTCGCATGCTTTGAACATAAAGTAAAGCAGGAAATAATATCAAACAAGCCTAGGGTTTGGAAATGAGGTTTTGGGGTGGACTGTATTTCTCCATAGTCTCCCGATTTAGGTTCTAAAACGGTACCCAAGTTCTCATTGTCGGTGCCCCCTTGGGCTTACCTGACCCTTAGTCCTAAACCCATCACAGGCTTGTGTGGACTAAGTTAAACTCGAGAAGACACATTCCCTTATGCCCATACGGAGAATAAATTCACACGAAGACATAAGGTATATGAATCTTGAAGGTTACTTGCTAGGCCCATACGGTGAATAAATTCACACGAAGGCGTCGCTTTCACCTGCACTTAAAACGGGATTGGAGCTCGGGTTTATAGCCTTAGATGGAAACTTTGAAAATCTGAAATCAATGAAAAAACGCAATACAACTATTTATTTGAAAAAATAATCAAAGATAAATAATTGGAATCGAATAAATAAATTAAAATTAAAATTTACTATTTTCGCATAAAAAGACAACCGAAAATTAATTCTGGCTTGACTCACTTACCTGTCCTCAGCGGAGTCGCCAAGCTGTCGGAACCGTCTTTCGGTTTGACCCCGAAATTAAGCTTCGGCTTAAGAAAAATGATTTGGAGTCGCCACCGATCATTTATTTTAAAAAAGAGATAGGTTGATCGGATACCTTATTTCTTACATGATCTGCGTTGTACCAGAAACGTGTCGGGTTCGGGAGTCGATTACGGTCAAGGAAGGATTGGCACCCTTGAACCGCCCTTTCGGTACCAATTAATTTATCGATTGTCTTTAATTGCGAAAATTGAAATTGAAATTTAAAAACTTGATTCAAATTACTTACCTTCGATTGATTAAAAAATCCCCTAAAAAGTCAAAAAAATTGTTAAATTGTAAAAAAAAAATATATGAAAAAAATAAAAAAAATATTAATATAATAATAATAAATAAAAAATAAAATAAATAAATAAAGATAAATAAAATTGAGTAACAAAACTAAAAAATAATAAAAAACGAAATAAAAAAATAAAAAAAGTGTTAAAATAAAAATCGAACACAACCAATGAAAGAACAAGAAAAAATAAATTAATAAAAAGGACCAAAATGGATGATGTTCAAAGATGGAATATCTCAGCAAGGATTAATCCCTAAAAATCCAAAAACATGTTACTTGCACATTACCATACATGTCAAGCAAACATGGTCCCTACATGAATGTAATTTAAAGGGTTTTTTTACCCAAAACATTATCAAGTACGTGAGGTCCATTTGGAACCCCACCATATATGCATGTATTCCAACACCTTCAAGACATTGCTTCCACCTGCTCATTTACTTCCACGGAAACATCAATTTCATCGAACAACATCTCATCAAGAACTTGGCATAAGTTTTCGTAAACAACGTGGAATTTGACCATCATTGCCTCAGTCTCTAATGCCAGGAAAATCTTGCTACCAACACTGCAAGTTGTCAAGAGTTTTTTCGCCAAGCAAAGAACTTTCTTCAATCTGGACAAAGTAGCAACGCCTTTGGGAGAAATGCAAGCGCCAAGGAGCCGAACCTCATCGAAGAACGGCAAAAAACTCTTCATCAGCCTTACGAGGCTGTAACATTCTTGTCTCTGGGTACTTGGGAAATCCCTGAGCCGAGCGACATACTCGATGATGTTATGTGTTTTCACCGTGGTTTTGTGTTCTCTCGTTTCGATCTCGGTTTACTATTTGGTGTAGCCTCCGTGGTTCCCCTGCTTTTTATTTTTTTTCGACCATGGTTACTGACTCGACCACCTCCATCTATAATCTGGTTCCACTTTCTGCCATGGCCGCCAAATGCTTGTGGATATGCTTCAATGGAAGTAGCAGAGGCGAAAGTTTCTTTCGGTTTCCTTTTGTTTTAGAGCTCCGTAAGTTGATTGGAGAACCAAAACTTGATGAAAAATTAAAAGAGAGCATGGATTGTTGGTGTTTGAATGAGACTCGAAGGCCAAATTTTATCTAGGAACTGTGGTAGCTCGAGAGCAAATGGAAAGCATTGTCAATATTTTCGGATGTTTGGCAGCCAGGAAAATGAGAAAATAGAGAGAAATTGAAATAAATCGCCTTTGATTTGAGAACAGATCAAGTGAAAAAATGCATAAGAATCGACCTGGGCACCCCTTCAAGTTTTTTTGCTTTGTTCTCCCCCGAACCAGTGGAAATATCATACATTTAATAGGTGCCACGAGAGGAGGAAGCAGATGTGAGGAGCGAAATTTGGGGGTGAGTTGAGTGAGTGGGTTAGGTATAGGTGTTTAGTGGTTTAGTGGGTAGTGGAGTAGGAGGTTTTTTTTTAGAAATGAGGGCCAAAATAATAATAATAATAATAAATATTAATAATAATAATAACTAAATAATAAAATAAAATATTTTTATAAATCAGGACAAAACGGGTGTCTACAATATAAAAATAAAGCTCCTAAATTATACTCAAAATTAATTTTTAGTACCTAAAGAATTTTTCACTAAAAATATATGCTTAAAGTTTTTCTTCATTACACTTTTAAGCGCATGCCGTTAAAAAAATATGAACGTCCATATTTTTTTAACGGTATGCACATAAAAGTGTAACAGAGAAAACTTTAGACATATATTTTTAACGAAAAATTTTTTAAGGACTAAAATATTTTCCGATGCATATATTAGACACTTATTTTTGTATTAAGCCAAAAAAAAGGATAATAATAAAAAGAGGGTAAATTATATATGTACTCACTTAACTTTACTTTCTATCTTATTTCACTCATTATATTTTTAATTTTTTAAATTTAACAATTGAATTTTAGATACTATATTTTTTGGTCACTCGATGATATAAATGATTTTACTATTATTTTCATATATGTGTTATATTTTATTAATATTTTAACACCAAATATAACTAAAAAAATAAATTTAAAATTTTAAACTATACCCTTAAAATCCAAACTATTTCTTTTTCTTCTATTTAGTCGTCAAACAAATTATTTTAGTAATATTATCACTAATTTTATGTTATTTTTTATTTTGATCATAAATCTTTAAAAATTAATGACGATCATATATATTATTTTATTTTCTATGTCATTTTTTTCTGAATATTTTGGAAGGCTCTAAAATATAGTAGAAGATTATGGAATATTCGAAATTTTGTGGAGAATTCTTCAATGCTAGTCTATCATGAAAATGTGTATAAAGTACTAGGAGGTGTAACATATTTATAAGTTTGTATAGATTTATCTAGAAATTAAATATTAATTATATGATTAGATTAATCTCTACCATCTCTCGAAAAAGTAGAATACTATAAATAGAAGACATTGATTATTCGACAAGGTATCTTAAAATCTAAAAATTCAAATGTTTTAGGCACACTTTGTAACGTATTCTACAAGTTAATAAAATTATATTTTCAAGTATTTAATATTTTAGTTCTATTATTTTCTACTTAAAGCATAATTGGTTTATTATTTTTACACTATCTTTAACTTGCATTTAACAATTGGTTTAACTTAGCCACGAGAGAGGGAGTGTCCAAATGTCGCACATATAGAAAAGAGTGAGCATGTGACATTAAATGATGTCTTGTAACACTCTCAATGATGAGGGTGACACGATCTGATTCGAGTTGTCACATTAGAGTTACTGGAGTGAGTCACGGTGAAAATCCCTGAAAAATTTAAAAATTTTATTAAAATGTGTAAAATCATAAAATAATTTATTAATACATACAAGTTCTAAACTTAGTAATAAAATAAGTCAACTGTGATCTACATGCCCTGTAATTACACTTGTATCATACTCTTCATTCAAGCCAAAGGAACTCCCGGTACATATGTCGATAGTTGCTTCAAATCAATTCTTTTAACCTGAAATGTAGAGTAAAAGAATGAGTTTTGGGAAACTCAGTAATACATAACTACCAAGTGATGCTGAAGGACACGCAGATAAATGAGAAAACATAAATTTTTCCTTTTTGATTCAGACGTCCATAGGTTTTCGTGAGGAACTGAAGTTCCACTAATATTTTTTTCAAGTAAAATACAAGAAAATTTCAGTTTAGAGGAAACATTCAGAGGATCAGGTTTAGGAGATCAGAATAGGGTGTCTAGTGTGTTCCCACAAAACCAGTGACAAGGTACAAATCTTTTCAAAACAGTAACAGTTTAAAACACATTTTTAAAACAGGAAATCAGAATAGAATCTCTGAATACATGACATTTAATTTGATAAAAGGCTACAACATGGTTCATCTTCTTTTTATTCATTTATAAGTGTTCGATATGTTTTTTTCCCTCTTTCTTTTAGAATGAACAAATTAAGATTAACCTTGATTTGTGTTTCAATTATAGCCAGCGCTTTGTCGGTGCCGTTAACGGAGTTCTTGTACTGGGAATCATTGCTTCTTTCACTGCTCTTGTGGTAATTCCTCGACTGTTATTAACAATATGGTTTAAATTGCAATATTTATAGCTTAAGCCTTTTTTTTCATCTGTGTGTGCTCTTAAGTATATCTGATTGATTACTGTCGATTCTTTCGCATTATACCACTAAGAAAATGATGTTTGTTTTCCTTTCAAATGTATTTCTTTTCATATTGCTTAGTTTTTACTTGTTTTTCTGGCTTAGTCTGTTGCAAGTGGAGGCCTAGAGTGGGATGCTCTTCTGAAAGCCAACTTTGCAGCTGTTCCTATGAGTATACCAATATTTGCACTGTCATTTGTTTACCAGGTAGGATCTTTAACAGTTAGTTGCGGAAATCCGTAATACAAGTTCATTAGCGGTTTCTATGGTAGCAAAATCTGACATTTTATTAAGTTGCTGTAACATCTTTTGTATCTACATGATTCAGAATGTTGTCCCAGTTCTCTGCACAAATCTTGAAGGAGACATGTCAAAAGTAAGGTGACTGGTCCTACCATTTAAGCTCTAACTCTCTTTTTATTCCCCTGCCCTTCCCCTTCATTTTCTTTTCGCTGTCAAATGTTTCGAAATCGTGCAACTCTCGAATTCTACAATCAATTTTTGGTCATGGAAGTACGAGGTTTGTCATTTGTTCTCTTTGAATCTTTGTTTTTTTTGCAGGACTGCTATTTTTCTAGCAACTGCAATTCCACTTGGTTTATTTCTTGTGTGGAATGGTGTTATTTTAGGATATATTTCGAATCTCAGATCAGATGATAGATCCATTGCAACAATTGCAATCTAGTAACGGAGTTGTTGGAGTAAGTTCTTTGTTCTTTAATGGATTTTGGGTCGAAATTTTCAGGGTGAATGGAATCAGATTGAGTTTTTAAGTGACACCATTTTTGGTTTTTGAAACGAATTTGCAGCCAATAGTTGAGGTGTTCTCACTTCTTGCCATTGCAACATCTTATATTGGATTCATTTTGGGCCTTTCCGATTTCCTGGCTGATTGTGAGTTTTCCTTCACCATTGATCTCACGTAATGTTGGATATGGGCATGTGTCCGATACCGGCAACGTTTTCTACATGTCTAGAAGGTCTTTGGAGAGCCATCTTTATATTTCTGGCTACATATGCATATGCATATGCATGTATTGTATCGATGAAACTGCTTGATTTCGATACAGGATATCTTGTTATGATGCTCGGATTGCCTGGTTTCTTTTCAAGATTGCCGGCCTTATGAAAATGTTCATTTTTTTCCGATCACTTCAGTGCTGAAACTTCCGGCCGGTGAGAAGAAGCCTCAACCATATCTCTTGACATTGGTTCCACCTCTAGGACTTGCTTTGCTAGACCCGGAGATATTTTTTAAAGCCTTGGATTTTGCCGGAACATATGGAGGCAATTCTCTAAACCAATTTTGCACCTGCAACTCAGCTAGTAAGATCATGTTGTTCCGACTCTTTATTTTTCTTGAAATTCCCGAATCGGACCGATACATATCTGGACGTGAAACCATCAAAATCCATAAATAATTGAATATATATTTGCAAATGGATTTCGGTACCTTGCGTCGCAAACAACAAAATAAATTGCTAGTTTTCATTATGAGCCTCAACTCCTTTGCCTTGTAAACACCTGAAAGTGATCAAATCATCCATGTTTTTGCCAGTACTGGTATTATTCGGAATACTTCCTGCTGTGATGTCGTGGTCGGATCGGTACTCCCGGACTTCATCAACATCGATTAAGTTGCCCTAGCTGGCTCCAGGAGGAAGATTTACCCTTATTCTGGCTGTGGCATGTTCAGGAGGAGTCATTGCTACTGAAATACTTGAGAGCTTAGGGCATCCATGATTGTAATTATAATTCAGAGAATAATTGAGTTGTTCTTATAATATGTGGCTTCATACTAGTACTAGATATGAGCACACTTCACACCATTTTTTGCATTATGGTTGTTCAAAAATAGGGACAAAGTTACGCTTTATCTTTAGGGCAATTGCCACCCAATTTTTTTATTATTAATGAATATATATATATATATACCTACTTAGATCTTATAATTTATTTTATTTTGATTTAATTCACTACTTATGATTACCCTAAATTAATCAAAAAAATAAAACGAGCCATTTTCAATAAAAATGATTCCATTAAAGAATATGTATATATCAATATTTTTATGAGATGACCATTTAGCTCAGTTGGTAGAGCATAAAGTTTTTAATTTTGAGATCGTGGGATCGAGTCTCACGGAGGGTATTTCATAATTTAGAGGTTTTCTACGGAAGCTGCTCTCAATCTGGTGTTTGGGGCAGCCTACTATCTTACCTCCCTCTTATCTCCATTACATATGGGAACAAGGGACAACCAACCATATATATCAATATTTTTGATATTATGTTGGGAGTAAATTGAGTTTAAAAGATTATCTCATATATATTATAGATATATATATATATATATATATATATATATATATATATATATATATATATATATGAATTACTTGATCCGGGTTAGTCGATTATAGATTAATTTATTTAATTTAATAATTTAAAAGTATTAATTTATTTTAATCTTATAGACTTTTCTCGTAATTTTATAATTTTTTATTTAAAAAACAAACAGCTATTTTTAGTTTAAAAAAATACTTTTGAAGTTCCGGTCCTAAAGATGTAAACCTCTTCATGAAAAAAAATGTTTTTAAAACAAAAACAGAGAAAGAAATACTTTCTGCGTTGACCGAAGAGTCAGCCAAGTTATGCGAAAGTGTGCTAAAGCTTCAATCTTTATATCCCTTACACAAAGAGTAAAAAAACCCAGGTAAATTTCAATGCTTATTCACACTTGATTTTCGATTTTTCCCTTAAGAAAGAACCGTCTTTTCGTTCAATTTTCGACAATGTTCCTTCCGGCCACACTTCAGTTTGTTTCTTCTTTTACTGCCCTTATTGCTACGAATGAAGTAAACCCATCTTTAAAAGTCCCACCTTTCAAAGAAAAGGCAAAGCTCGAAAGATTTGGAAAATTAAAACTTTATTCTAAGACTCTGCATGATTGTGCTTCGAAAGGGTATTTGAGTTCAGATAAAGTTCTTCAGGGAAGATAATAAGAATTAGGTTTGATCCAGATTTGTTTCTATGGAACTCTTTAGTGGATGGTTATGCGAAATGTGGGAGCTTCGGATATGCTTGTAAAGTGCTTGATAAAATGCCTGAAAGAGACGTTGTGTCTTGTACTGCTCTTTTTTCCGGTTTAGTTAATGAAGGGTATGGAAATGATGAGTTGAGTTTTTATTGTTTTATGAAGAAAGATGGAGTTAGGCCAAATGGACATTGCTTGGTGACTACTTTGAAAGCTTGTTCTTTGAATTCAGAATTGATTTTTGGTACACTGTTGCATGGGGAAGGCGTTAAAGTTGGGCTTTTGTTTGATGTTTTTGTTGGTCCTCTCTTGTTGATCTTTATGCAAAATGTGGAGAGATGGAATTGGCAGAGAGAGTGTTTGTTTACACGAATAAAAAGAATGTTGTGTCATGGAATGCATTGCTTAATGGATATGCTCTAAAGGGTGATGCAGGAAAGATTTTGGATTTTTTCCGAGGGATAACGGAATCCGAATTGAGGTGCAGTAAGTTTACTTTGTCAAATGTGCTCAAAAGTTGTTCGTACTCGGAAAATGTAACATGGGGCTTGATTGCACATTCTTTGGTGATTAAGACCGGTTGTGAGCACGATGAATTTGTTGGTTGTTGCCTTCTTGACATGTATTCAAAATGTGGATTAGCTAGGGATGCACTTAAGGTATTTAAAAGGGTTCAAAGACCCAATACGGTAGCCTGGAGTGCGATGATTAACTGCCTTGATGAGCACGGTCAGATTCAAGAAGCAGCAGAGTTGTTTTGCCTAATGAGACACAAAGGGGTAAGCCCCAATCAACATACGTTTGCAAGTATTGCTAGTGTAGATGCTAATTCGGGTGATCAGTTTTATTGTGAAGCCATTCATGCTTGTATACTTAAACATGGATTTGAATCTGAAATCATTTTGAGCAGTGCACTTATTGCAATGTATATGAAAATCAGGTCAGTCCAAAATGGTTGGCATGTGTTTAAGGAAATGAGTTATTGGGATTTAGCTTCATGGAATGCTCTTCTTTGTGGATCTCATAGCGATAAAACTTGCTATCAGGGACCAGGTATCTTTCACAAGATGCTTGCTGAAGGTTTTAAGCCTGATATCTATACATTTACTAGCATTTTAAAATCTTGTTCCCATCTTTTAAATCTAAAATTTGGACAAGTGCATGTCCATATAATAAAGAATGGCCTGAATGAGAATTATTCAGTGGAAACATCTCTTATCGACTTGTATGTCAAAAATGGATTCTTGCCAGATGCAGATCTACTTTTTAGTCAATTGATTGAGGGATCTTTTATCATGGACCACACTAATTTCTTGATATGCCCAAAGTGATCATTCGGAGATGGCTATCGAGTACCTCAATCAGATGCTAGGGCAAGGTGCGAAACCCAATGAATTCACTCTTGCCGCATGTTTGAGTAGTTGCTCCAAAATGGCGATGTTGGAGAATGAGCAGTTGCTTCATTCTTTGGCAATTAAAACTGGGAGTTTTGATGATGTGTTTGTATGTTCTGCAATTGTAGATATGTATGCCAACTGTGGTTGCATAGAAGAAGCTGAAGCTGCTTTCCAGGGCATGGTGTTAACCGATGTTGTTTCATGGAACAAAATGTTATTCGGATACTTGTGACACGGGCAAGGATTGAAGGTTTTAGAAACTTTCGAGACAATGTTAGATAAAGGCATTGATCCGATGAGGTTACGTTCATCGCAATTTTATCTGCATGTAGTCATACAGGCTTGGTCAAAGAAGGGAAGGAGCACTTCGACTCTTTGACCAATATTTATGGGATGACACCTACAATCAAGCATCATGCTTGTATGATCAATGTATTAGCCCAAGCCGGAAAGTTTAACAAAGTCGAAAGCTTCATCAACAAGGAGATTATATCGAACCCCTTGATTTGGGGGACAGTTTTAGGGGCTTGTGCAAGGCATGGGAATGACAAACTTGGTGAAAGTGCTGCAGAGAAACTGTTGGGGCTTGACCCTGGTACAGCCTCCCATTACATATTACTAGCGAATCTTTTCGCGGCCAAGTGTCAGTGGGAAGATGTCCGACGAGTCAGAGCATTGATGACCCGTAGTGGTGTTAAGAAAGAAGGCGAGTGTAGTTGGGTGATGGTTAATGGTCGAGTGCACGTTTTCAGGTCCGGAGATGGTTTTCATCCAAGACACGAGGAGATCTGTGTGAAAGGAGCTTGTTCTGTTCAATCACATGATTATTACTTGTATATGCCTCATATTCTTGATAGTTTGGAGTAAACTTATTAAAATTCCCCTCAAACCATTAATATTTTATAGTTCCTCCGTAGCTCCACTAACTAGCACGTCGGAAGTAGCATTGTCGTAGCCAATCCGTAGCGAAGGATACATCATTAGCAAAATATTTTATCCATATTCATGAAAAACTTCCCTTTTGCTTTATTCCGACTGATCTTTGATTGGCACAGATGAATCATAAATCCAACTAGCCAACTTCTTGTATGAGACTGCTTCAAAATAAGGGCGATGAGTTTAGCCGTGCAAAAAGACTGTTCCGATCCCTTCTGCAATAAGACAGTTATCGTGGAAATGTTAGTCTGGTTGTGTCTCATCAGTGAAACTACTCATAATCCTGAATTTCAGCCCACAAAAGCACTATATTAGCATAAGCTTTTAACAAACCTCAACTGAAATTATTATATAAATCAAAAGAAAAAGGGTATACTTCTTGCTCCTGCAGAATTCATTTGCATGTGAATTTACATTACTGCTTCCAACCGGAGCCATCAAACTACTAAGAATTTACATTTGTCACCCTCAATCCCTCCCACACAACACAAAAGGAGTGTATACACTTATATTTATATATCAAAGGAGGGGGAAAATAATAGAAAAGCCAAGCTCTC